CCGGAAGGCTAAACGGGAACAGTTTGTCCAGAGTGTCGAGCCCCTAGAGTGATAGACAATGGCTATGATACCATGTGAGAATATGTGAAAGTGAAATCCCATTAGCTTACTCTCCAAAAGAGCCCTTGAAGAGAGAAGGTAGATTCCAACATATATTGACCAAAAATGGTCCGAGTCTAGACGGCGTGGAACTCCAACAGATACAAGTGATTGACTATTTATTAAGCCATTCAATACTAACATAATAAAGGAATTGTGCAGACTAAAAGCTATGCTGTTAATTGCGCGGATTGCGGACTAAGGTCAAATTGCGGTGACAATTGCGTTTCCGATATTAGCGGCACAATTGACCGATATTTGACCGCTATTCGAGGTGAAATTGTGGACCTGTAATCCGATATTTTAGCTTAGGCCTCTTTAGCACAAGTGGGCCAAGTACAACAAGTAAAGGGGAGTGCTATAGGGATGATGATCACGTTGGAGATGAAGGGGAAGATTGGGAAGCTAGCCTAAACGAAGAAGTGAATGTATTAGATGATGTTGACTCGGATGCTGAACCTATTGCTTGCGATTGGCTCGTTTATGAACACTTTTCCTATTTTGTTTTCTAAAACTTGTTTAAGTTGATGTTGTGATGTTGAAACTATATTTTTAATCAATGCATATGATACGTTTATGTATGCATACATACATATTATATACATATATATATAATTCTAAGAAATATTATATGAACCGCCATTTTTGGACTGCTATACCACCGCTATAACCGCTCGGTCCTGACCGCAGTTTTCTATTCTCACAGCTATAACAACATAGACTAAAAGCAATACAGTCACTAATTCACAGTGATTAAAAAAGACAATAGGAAATTTTAATTCAAAAGTTTGTGTTAAAATGAAATGCTGCATAAGATATAAAATCGTTAACAGTGGTAATTATTGTAATTTTTATGGGAAGGGTAGGGTACTACCTATGCCTAAATATAACCAGTCTCCCGCAAATTTCTAGCTTGGAATGCAGATGGAAGGATCCCCCAACCAAGTTAGGTTATCAACAAATGAGTTATACAGGAATATAATGGCCATGTTTAATAGATACTCGAAAAAGAGTGTGATTCTTGTCCTATGTTGTTAATTGCGGTGCTACAGCGGTCCTAGGGAAATAGCGATGGGAAATTGCAGTTCTGCTAATAGCGGCACTAATCACCGCAATTGGACAACCATTTTGATTTGAAATAGCTGTGTGAAAACCGCAATTAGGAATTGGGCTTACAGTTGGCCTTTTAAAGGGGTTAGAGAAGTCGATTAGGGGATTACGAGCTGGGGGGTTGATTTTGATTTGCAATAATGGTGTACACTCGATATACCTCTCTCATCTCTACTATTCTGCATCTTCTCTTCACAACAACATTGTCTTCCAACATAGATTGCTTGTCATCTCTTTTATTCACGTGTTCTTCTGTTCATCTTCAAAATATATATCATGTTATGTATAGATTTACATATAATTGTAGTTATTACATGAGCCGACATTTGTGGACCGCTATACCACCGCTTTACTATTGCAATAACCGTTATATCAAATCACAGTCCGCTATTTCAGATTTTGACCCCTGTAACAGCATAGTTCTTGTCATCAAAGTACCAATAGACCTTCCACTAACTTCAGTGAATCAGTTGAATAAAGCAAATCAAACAATCAAAATTCAAAATCATGAAAGCAGCCTAAACACAAACTACTCAATATTCTGCAACCGGCATTCCAAAATTTCCTGTTAATCATCTTCTAACCAACACTCATGTGTACCGAAATCGAACAATTGCAGAGAAAACAAGTGAAGTTAAATGCTTGCTTGAAATTGCTATAAAATGATGAAAAAATATCAAAAACTAGAGCAGAATAAAGGTAGGAACGAGCGTGTTTTGATCAACAATTTGTGCTCCAAACGGTGGTGAGCGACTAATCAACTGCGTGCCCCAAACTATTGTGCAAAATAGAATATCGATGGCCTGAAAGTGATGAGATTATGCATACCTAGCGATAGCTCCGATACCGTCGACGATGCTATTACTTCGCCGGTGGGTTTGCTCCTCCGGGCTAGAATCAACCTAATGAGGTGGGGCCTTGGGAGCTGGTACCGTATTCAGATTTCAGGTGGAGTGGGTCGGAATCAAACGGGTCGTCACACCTTTTAGTAAAGTGAAATCCGACCCATCCAGGGTGATATATGTAGGAGTTCTCACGTTGGGTTGATCGGGTTGAAAACATTTGAACAATCCAATTCAATTTTATAGTTTGAAAAAACTTATCTCAGCCTAACACAAACCAAACTGTAACTCAACTCAAACCAAAGTGCAACCCAACCCAACCCAATCCAAACCGTATGGATTAGTCGGGTTGATACTTTGGTACATTAAAATATTCTTCTAACCTTAATTATATTATTTTTCTACTCATAATTTCTTTTTCATCATCAAACATTTGATGTAATTTATCCATACTTCTTACGTATATCATATTCAGTTAATTTTCTCAATTTACATATACATGTTCACAGTTACTGAACATATATACGAATGAGTAGTGACTGATTATTCTTCAACTATGTTGTTACATTGTTGCTATTATGTCACAACCTGATCAACTTAACCCGCACAAATTGGGTTGGATTGATCTTTAAATAACTTTTAACGGGTTGAAAATGTTCAAACTGCATTGATTGAGTTGCGTTGGTCAAATGTCTTCAAACCGATCAACCCAACTCATATATAGTCCTATTTAAGTATATGGCAGTTTCCATCTTGTTCCTATTAAGTGATAACATATAAATGATGCTTTATCCAATTTTGATATTGCATGCGCTGTATTTTCAAACGTCCAAGTTTTGGGTCTCCACTCAAGACTAACTTATTATGCCTAGCGGTGCTTCACATCATTTTCGATTCCGCATTGCTCGTAGTTCCCCATGCTCTTTCAGTGTCTTCTACAACCCATATACGAGAATTTTGATGATAGTACCATACGACAGACGCTTACCACCGATGGGGGCCTCTTTTCCATTGTCTCAGTGTAGCATTCATTAATGATTGACAAGCTGACAAAGTTTTATGATGACGAAAAATATCCGATTGAATTGTGATAGGGCCAACAATAACTAGAAAAACTTGCATCATGTTGGGCCCAAACCCATGTTTCATAATTCATAAGCACCATTTGTCTCTAAAGATGAACGTAAATCTATTTGACAGTTTCACAGGTATAATTTTGTGGTGCGTATGGACAGTGGAGGATCTAGATTTAAATTGATAAAAACTTTTGTAGAAAGATATAAATTGTTTTCAGATAAGCAATCCTAAACACCCTCTAAGAACTCCCAAGTCCTAGATTTTCATCATCAAAATTAACCATTTAACAAAAACAGTTATAAAACGCAGAGAGTTATGACGTATATATCTGAATGTAGATCCAACTTTTTAGAAAATGTAAGAAAATAAATTTAAAAAGTAAAACGTTATTATAATTAAATAACTGTGTGTTTTTTATAAATAACTTAAAATTTATAAGACTCGTTTTTATAAAAATTGATTTTGGTTTTCAAAAAACGCAAACATCAGTGAAGCTTTCGTACTTTGTTTTGAATTTTCTTAAATATGGACTTAAAAACAAAAAACGTGACTCAGATGGTCCACGTCTATCCAGAAGGAAAAGAAAATGAACTGTTGTTTTCTCGTTCAGTTGTGCCTTGCTTGTCAATTAGGAAACTCGATATCGACATCCACATATTCTCTTCTCTT